CACTACCAAGTCACCAACAAAGTGACCAGGGGAGGGGGTACCCAGAGGTAGGAAGAGGGCAGAAAATGGGTCCTGAGTAGCCAGAGTGGCCCAGGTCATGCCCCTAATGCCGCAGTCAGCCCCGTGGTAAGCAGGGGACCCCAGGTGTGGACCCTTGCCAAGGAGTGTGGGGCAGGGAGGGGACCTGCTCGATGACCACGGCGTCCTTCAGTCTGCGTGTCTCCTGCAGGTGCTCCACAAACTGGCTCATGTACGGCTGGAGGTCGGCGAGGGTGGAGACCTGCGGGAAGAGCAGGGAAGGTGTGGGAGCGAGCACAGCCCAAGGCCACCAGCACCGAGGTTAGCTCTGCCCCCTCCCGTGACTGCAACCATGACCCCGACCCCGATCACGGCACCCCACATGGTCAGCAAATGGTGGCCACTGCAGAAGAGGCACTAACATGTGAACTGTCATGTGTGTGCAACACGTGGGTGTGCGTGCAACACACGCGGGAGGAGAAACTGCAAACCACGAAAACCAGAGCGAGTGGCGGCTCCACTCCTGGTCTAACTACCAGCAGGGCGACATCCATCTGGCGTGGCAGGACGTCCCCAGCAGCAGGGCTACATCCATCTGGCGTGGCAGGACGTCCCCAGCGGGGCCACAAGGACAGCCCGGGCTGGAAGCTACCTACGTTCACTGCTGTGGGGAGGACAGACCACAGGCAGCGCTCAGCCTAGGACCCACCAAGGTGGCCAGGAGCAGGAGGGAACCCAGGGAATCAGTGACCACGGACACCCTTTTTTGGCAGTGGCCACGTGTGGCTGCACACTCAGGTCTAGGATCCCTGTTCACCTTGTCCCAGGAAAAAACAGAGCACCCCAGGCTGTGGGTGCCATTAGGCCTGAGCCTGGGACCCCCTCCAGTGCAGGCCCTGGGGCTGGGGGAGAGGACCTAGACAGGCACGGTGTCACATCGGGCCATCAGTACGCTGGGACAGGGACAGAGGGCACCTCACTGTGGTCCCCACAGAGGGAGTCAGGTCCTACATGCCCATACCACTGACACACAGGCCAAGTCACCTAGGCTGTGGACATAGGTAGCGGGTGTGCACACGACTCCTGCACCGTGCGCATGCATGTCACGAACGCACCCAGCATGGTCCACGCCTTCCTTACGTGTCTCCTGAAGGACCTGCGCACATGTCCCCTGGCGGCTCTCTGTACCACGGTGTACCGGCGGACACAGTACGTGTTCTCCCAGGGCCTGAGGACCTTGGCAACCACCTCTGCGACTTTGTCCTGTGGGAGGGCATCGTATGCCCCAGACACGTCTGCCTGCGGGGTACAAGAGGACACTGAGCACTGCCTCAGTGTCAGGTGTGCAGGGCCCACCATGCAGACCACTACTGGTGGGGAGTGTCAGGGACGAGGTCCACAGGATACTGCTTGGCTCCACCCAGCCACACAGTGCCTCCGCAGGAGCCACACCCATGTGGACCACCCTGCAGCAGGGCAGGGCCCCCACCTGTGTCCCTCCCGAGCCTGGCGGCCAAGTGCTCCCTCCTCCTCTGAAGTGGTTCCATGTCCAGGGGATTCTGCCTGAGTGGGGGCCCCCAAGAAGCTAGGGTACAGATCCGAGGCCTCACACAAAGATCAAAGTCTCTATCCTTGGAGCTGAGTGTCCCCAGAAGGGGCTAGGGTCCCTGCCCTCCCTACCGGGGACACAATTGAAGGCAGCCATGCCCGGTGATGAAGGGGCCCTAGGGCCACCCACACTGGCCCATCCTCATAGCTCTGGTGCCCAGGTGGCCTGGAAACTCACAGGATGTGGCAAGGAGGGCCAGCACCCACCTTGACAAAGTACAGCTGGGACGCGCAGCCCTGGGCCCGCACACGCAGCACGAAGGCCCGCCAGGCCCTGTAGATGTCATCCAGGCCCAGCACGGAGGCGCCCAGCAGCTCGGGCCGCCGGGCACGCTCGTAGTTCAGCACACTGAACAGGGTCCTGAGGCGCGGGGTGAACTGCTGGACCTAGGGGTGCAGGGCCAGCTTGCAGGCGGGCGTCACACAGTGCCCGCCGCACCATGAAGCTGCTGCACAGCGCTGAGGGGCCCAGGCGTGGCAGGAGCAGCCCCTGCCTGCCAGGCCCCCCCGTGCCGCCCCCTGCGCCCAGCAGAGCCAGCCCTGTCTTTCCCACCTCCCCCGCCCCCGCCTCCCGGCATGAGGGCGCCCAGGTCTTTTCCAGCACCCGGCAAGGGCGGGGGCGCACCGTGCGGTCACCTTTCTGTCCTGTGGGTGCAGGTGGGGAAGGGGGGCTCTGGTGCCCACCACACCTGTGCTCACAATGGGTCGCAGCCCACTGAGCTTGGGCACAAAGCGGAGCCTGGACATGGGCTGGGCCTGGACGTGGGCGGAGCCTGGACGTGGGCGAAGCCTGGACGTGGGTGGGGCCAGCCTGAGTTCCCGCAGCTGCACCCTCTGGACGTGCTGCCTGGAACAGAGGTACCAGGGCACACGCTGGGCACACGCTGGGCACACGTGACATGAAGCCCAGGGCCCTGCAGTGGGCACAGGTCAGCCCTGGGCAGGCTCCTGCTGGGGTGGTCTGCATGGGAGGCCTGGCAGGTAGGGCCAGCGCGCTCCCAGCACTACCCCCCCTCCCCCGTCCACCCATCCGCAGCGCCTGTTCAGGGTCCTGGCTGGCCATGGTGCCTCTGAGGAGGGACACTGGCTCCTCCCACTGATGTTCTGACTCAGGACACTGCGAAAAGCTCTGAGACCAAAGTGCAGACACTGAGGCTCAGAAGCTCCGGTCTGGCTGCCAGGGACCCCCAGGCACGGAGGACAAAGTCAGGATAGAGAAGCAGCTGTGGGTCGGCACTGGGCCAGCCTCTCCCGCCCTGTCAGGAGCCGTGGGCAGAGCAAACAGCAAAGCCCCACTGGGTGGCCAGCAAGGGGTCCACCCCGAGTCAGAGCAGCAGCAGCCGCAGCCCGATGTAGGAGTGGGCTCATTACCACTGCTTCTGCTCAGCATAAAGCCCTCTGCTCCAGGAGTCGAGGGGTGTCCAGCCTGAATCCCATACAGGCCGTCAGTGCTGGGGCCACCATGGGGGTCCCCACCTGCACCCACGGGCCTGGGGGTGGGGGCTAGCAGGCAGTGACACCCCCAGAGCTGACTTCTCTGCAGATACCAGAACCCCACGAGGACGGTGATGTGACGACCACACCTGACTCCGATGCACTGCAGCTCGCACCACAGGCTCTTGCGGTAGAAGAGGAGCCTGTTTTTCTGGAACGTGGTCTCCGTGACGTAGAAGAAGGACCTGAGCAGCTCGACGATGTACGTGTCCATCAGCCAGAACAGAAATGTGGCCAGGACCCGCTCCCGCAGGCGGTGCTCCGAGGCCGGGACACAGCCGTCCCCTGGAATGAGACGGACACAGCACCTTACCCGCCAGACCTGCGCCTCACCCCAGCTACACTGTGCCGGGCACTGCAGTTGGACCACAGCACACAGGCAGGTCCAAACCCAGAAGTGCCACACACACAACGCTGGCAGCAGACCCCGGAGATGTTCTCAGGACGACCTCACTCCCACTACAACAGGCTCTGGCAAGGTGCAAATAACATCACTGGACTCATTTCACCTTTTCTGCTTTTTAAGCTTGGCTGCTGGAATTGTTTAAACCGCACACGGGGCCCAGGTTCTACTCCCACTGAGTGATGCTGACTTGGGTCTCTCGCTAATTTGTGAGCAGCATGGAGGGGGCTGGAATGCTCCCCAGCGACCCGTGAGCGGCACTGGTGACAAGGCTGGGTTGTAGGACACCGAGCTCATCGCCACTGAGTAGGGAGACCCAGAAACACCTGGGCTTCCCCCCTGGGCAACCCCAGCCAACCACACGTGCCATCACACTGTAAGAGAGGATGGAGATTGATCACCACAGGCCCAGGGGACTGTCCTCCTCTGCCATCCTGAGCCCCACCCTGTGGCTTGTGACAAGAGCTCCACAGGTGCCTCTGCACCCAGCGGGAGCTACAGCCAGATAAAGCCAAGTTCACCACCAGCAGCAAACACAAAAGAAACCTGAGACCCAGAAGACAGGGAGACACAGGCAATGGCAGATAGGAGCAGAGATGGACGAGGACCTAGGTAGGCAATGGCCTCAACAGCGAGGATAAGGCCTAACCCAGCAAAGACACCTGGGGGGAGCCACGTCAGCAGGGAAGAGCTCGTGCGCTGCGGGTGCTGAGAGGGGCGGGCCAAGGCTGGTCCACTGCTTAAGACGAGGTCAGGGATGCGACTGTCCGGGAACCACTAAGCAGAGAACTGGGCAGACGCCTTTGACCACTTGAGGCAAAAACAGGACGGAAACACCACAGTGAGGAATCGGACCATAACCCAGGAGACAGGAAGGAAGAGGACACACACAGAGCACAGGCAGACAAGACAGGAACAGCACATCCACACACACGTCTCCAATCACGCAACTGGCGACAGACTGTCACCTAAGGGACAACTGTCCAACTGGACTGGAAATAAACTTTAAAACTCATCTGTACGTACACCATTAAAAGGACATCCCCAAACTATGAAAATACAAAAAAGCTGTAAATAAAAATCGGAGAAAAACGATGCAGCAGCAAGACACTAAGCAAAAGCCGCCGTGCAGCAGTCCTTGGGCAGCTAAGAGCACAGGGCCGCCACGAGAGCCGCCGGACAGCAAGTGCGTTCCCGCTGGTGCCTGCTGTAAACAGCCCTGGAGCACAAGCAACAGACACGCCCACTCCCCACACAGGATGCTGAGGTCACGTGACCACTCCACTTGCAGCGTTAGGGTGAGACAAAACTGAGAAGTTGGCAGGAGGTCGAGGAGCCGAGTTTTGCATGATCTTCCAGCCTCGCTTATTTCTTCTTCTTCTTCCCTTTCTCTATTTCTTTCCACTAACCACTTTTAAATTTACTCCCCTGAGGGTAAGATTGTCACATTGAGGGCTTATGTACTGCATACAATTTTCTGGTTCATTTTAGACTTTGTTATAAAATGAAAAATCTAGTACATATGGCCAAAGGTGGCAAATTAATAGTTACCTCAGTCTGTCATTTTCTAGGTTGTGTTGGATGCTATCATTATTGCTGTTTGTACCACTGTAGTGGATTGACAACTGGTGGCCAACTTATAACCCCCAGCTGAACTGAAGAAGCATGGTGCTGGGTGTGGGAGGCCCACCTGGGGATTGCTACCAGCAGCATAAGAGGCAGAAATGGAGAAGAAGAAGTGAGGCTGTTGGGAGCTGAGAGAGGCTGTTGGGAGCTGGTAGAAGCTGTAAGGAGCTGTTGGTTCTGTTGGAGGAGGTTGTCTTGCTGGCTTTCCTGATGAACTTGGTTGGCTGTTTTCATTCTCCAAGGAGCTTGGGGCTGTGTTGGCACTGAGAATAGCTTCAGTTCACTTTGGGGGAGCTCTGATCCTCACTCTGGGCATCACTTCCTGGCTCCAAAGGGGAAGAAGGTGTGCAGCTCAGTCTCCTGAAGAAGCTTGCTGCATTGGTTTTCCTGATGAGAACTCAGCTGTCTTTACCATTGGAGGAGCTCGGGACCTAACTTGCTGTGGATGGCTGTGGTACCTTCTGGGGGAGCTCTGGTTCTTGCTTTGAGCATTGCTTCCTGGCTCTAGTGCAGATCCCTCAGCCTGCTAGCACAGATCCTTCATCCTGGGGCACAGACTTCCTAGATTCCACCCCTGATCTTTGGGGCCTTCGCCGCTGACTCATAAAATAGGCCTGCATGAATACCCAACAAGGATGTCTATGGACATCACTCATATTAAATATAGTTCTGGAAATATTAGCTAGAGCAATTAGACAAAAGAAAGAAAGGATAGGAAAGGAAGAAGTTAAATTATCATTATTTGCAGATGACATAATACTCTACATAGAAGACCCCAAAAACTCCTATAAGACTTCTAGATATAATAACCAAATCTAGTAGCATAGCTGGATACAAAGTCAACACTCAAAAATCAATAGAATTCCTGTACACAAATAACAAACTCACTGAGAGAGAAACTAAGGAAACCACACCTTCCACAATAGCATCCAAAAATATGAAATGCCTAGGAATCAGTCTAACAAAAGAAGTAAAACAACTTTATGTTGAAATCTACAGTACTTTGAAAACGGAGATTGAAGCAGATTATCAGAAAATGGAAAGATATTCCTTGTTCTCAGGTAGGAAGAACCAATATAGTGAAAATGGCCATACTTCCAAAATTATTACACACATTTAATGCAATCCCAGTCAAAATACTCATAGCATATCTCACAGAATTAAAGAAAACAATCCTAAAATTCATTTAGAACCAGAAGAGACCTAGAATAGCAAAGGCAACTCTGGGCAACAAAGGCAAGGCGGGGGGCATCACAACCCCTGACTTCAAATTACTACAAAGCTACTGTGATAAAATCAGGATGGTACTGGCAAAAAAAAAAAAAAAAAAAAACCAAAAAACCAGACCTGGGGATCAACAGAACAGATAAGAAGATGCAGAAATAACCACAAATACACTCAGCCACCTTATCTTTGACAAAAGAGCCAAATATGCCAAAGATTACAACCAGACCCATATCTTTCACCATGCTTAAATTAAAATAGGGATCAAAGATCAAAATATTAAAACAGAAACACTAAATCTGCTGGAAGATAGAATAGGTAGAACTCTTGAAGACACTGTTGTTGGCAAAGACTTCATGAATAAAACCTAGACACACAGGAACTATCCCAAACAATCAACAACTGGGATCTCATCTTATTAAAAAGCTTTTGAGCAGCAAAAGAAACCACCAATAAGAGTGAAGAGACAACCCATGCAGTGGGAAAAATTTTTGCCAGCTGTTCCTCAGACAAAGGACTAATATCTAGAATAAAGATCTCAGAAAACTCAGACCCTCCACAAATTTAAAGACCACATAAAAATTGGGCATCTGAAATGAATAGACACCTCTCAGATAAAGAAGGAGAAATGACAAATACATGAAAAAATGTTCACCATCACTGCTCATTTGAGAGATGCAAGTGAAAACAACATTGAGATTCCATCTCACCCCAGAAAGAACAGCTCTCATCAAGGTATCAGTCAATAACAAACACTGGAGGGGCTGTGGGGAAAAAGGAGCCCTTTTCCACTGTTGGTGGGAGCATAGACTGGTACAACCACTGTGGAAATCATTGTGGAGGCTCTTCAAAACCCTAAAACTAGAGGTTCCATTCACCCCAGCTATTCCCCTTCTGGGTATCTTCCTGAAAGAATTAAAAGCATCATACCACAGTGATATGTGCACACCCATGTTTATAGCAGCATAGTTTATAATAGCTAAATCCTGGAAACAGCCCAATGTACTCCCTTATATAATGGAGTACTGTTCTTCCATAAACGACAAGCCTGAGGCATTTCTAAGTAAATGGATGCACCTTGAGACCATACTCTTAAGTGAAATAAATGGGACACACATGTTTAAATACTTCATTCTCGGGGCTGGGGCTTTAGCTCAGCGGCACAGCGCCTGCCTGGCAAGCGCAAGGTCATTAGTTCGGTTCCTGGTACCGGAAACGCCCCCCCCAATAAAAAAATAAATACTTCATTCTCTGGTGCAAGAAACCGAAAGTGTAAATAAGGACCAAAAGGTATAACAGGTATTAGGAAATGGGAAGAAAATGTTCAAATGAGAAGGGGAGGTAAGAAGGGACAAGAAAAAAAGAACAGAAGGAAAAAATGGAAACAAAGCTTTTGTAAATAAGGAGGAAAAGAGGGACTAGAAGAGAAGAATGGGAAAAAAAAAAGAGAAGAATGGGAAAAAAGCAGCAAGATATACCATGTACAGGTGCAAATTCCCTATGATGTCATCATTATGTATATCCAAAATGTACCAAAAAAAAAGTGAAAATACCCAAAGCCACCGGTGTTGGCTTGACTACAAGCCACTGGTGTTGAAATGACTGCAATGCAAGCACCAGGTACAGCCAAGGCAGCACTCAGAGGGACACACATAGCCATACCTGCAATCAAAGAAGTCAGAAAAAAAGGCCAAACCCACAGAAGTAAAGAGGATGCAACAGCAGGGGAAAGAAATGAAATTCAAAACAGACCCAACTGAGGACCTGGAGGCTCCACAGAGACCAGGGGACCCCATGTGGGAACAGGGGAGGGGCACGTGAGGAAAGCATCATGCAGCTGACCTGAGTGGACAGGCGGCAGGAGCAGAGCCCACACCAAGCAAGAGACAGCGTGTGCCCAGAACAGGAAATCAGATCGCCACCTGGACACCACCAAGCTACAGCGAATCTCACAGGGCAAAGAGAAAAGGAGGCAGCAGGCAGCCACGCTGTAGGAGTGGATGGTGGGCAGCCTGATGCCAGGGTGGACCACTAGGCAGCAGAGGCATGGGCCTGCAAGGTCCTGCAGCCACAGCAAAGCGGGTGGAAGGGACCAGAGCCTCTGGCAGAGGGGGCAGGCTGCCCTGTACCTCTGATCCAGTATTGCTGGGGTGAGCCCAGGCAGTTCCAAAGCCGCACCTCAGGGCTTCCAGAGAGCAAATGCGCCGGCAGAGTCTAACTGACCAGGTCTGTCCTGGCTGCCCCTCCACGCGGGATGGGAGGTGTAACCACCACGTCCAGTCAGCAGGGACGGCCCCACAGGCTGAGGCTGTCCCTTGCCCTACAGCTGGCTCCCCTAGGCTCCCTGGGGTCCCTGCTCTAGCCTAAAAAATGATGGAGCTCTCTGCTCAAAGAAGTCTGCGCGTCTGGCTGTGCCCTCTAACCTGCCCTGTAGCAAAAGAAAGTGGACGCATACCTGCACACTGGTGACCAAAGGCATCCTTGGCACCTAGGAGCCCTTCCTCTCACTCTCAGAGGGGTGCACCTCCCATTTTTGCCCCCAGGCACCATCCCCCCCCGACCGTGAGGTCAACAGGGTCATAAGCCCTCGGACTCTCCCCGCATCAGCAGCGCTCCTTCACATCCCCTCCATCCCGTCCCGGGGCCTGGAATATGCCTGAGCCCAGCAAAGCAGCAATATGAATCTCTTGAGTTTGTGAAACCAACCAACCGGAGGGAGCCTGCCCGACCCCTGCCCAAACCCACCTGGGCTCGAGCGCACCCAGACGCAGTCCTGCACTTTCACCTTCCACGTGAGCTCCCGCAGCGACAGCTTCCCGTGCTTGCCCAGCGAGAGAAATCTCTTCGTGCACCTCAAGAAGCGGCGCTCGTTGTGCCTGGAACCCCAGAGGCCGGCTGGCACCAGGCGGCGCAGGCAGGAGCGTAGAAAGGCGTACACCTGCCAGGTGCTGCAGTAGGCACGCAGCAGCTGAGCTAGGCGCCGCGCGTCCGAGTCCGCGTCGGGGTCGGCCGCGACCCGCAGCGGGCAGTGCGCGCGGAGCAGCGCGCCGTAGGGGCACCGCGCGTGGTTGGCCAGCAGCTCGCGGAACAGGGGTCGCATCCGCCAGTAACGCGGGGCCAGGCGGCGCGCGCGGGAGCGATGGGGTGGCCCAGGCCTGGGGGGCGGGGCGCCCACGAACAAGGCCTCCACGAGCCTTCGCGCCCCGGTCATGCTGGGTGGCAGCGCGCTGAGCACGAAGGAGGCGCGCAGCCGTTCCGCGCCGCGGCCCACTCGCGAATAGAGGAAGCGCTTGGTCTCGACGGCCGCGCGGGGCCCGAGAGTGCTCCTGCTGCCCCCGGACAGGGACGGCTCGCCCCCGACGGACGCGGCTCCGAGGGGCACGGCGCGCGGCTCGCCGCTTTCCGGCCCGCGCCTGCGCTTCTTGGGCGGGGTCGAACAGGCGTCTGCACTGCGGCTGCGGGGCGGGCGCGGGGACCCGAGCGCCGACCCGGGGCAGAGCGCGCGGCGCTGGGACGACGTGGGCGCGCCAAGATCGTGCAACGGCGGCCCGCAAACCTGGTAGGCGCAGCTGGGCGCCACCAGCTGGTACAGCGCGCAGCGCGACAGCAAGTGGACCAGCACGTCGTCGCCCAGGCGGCGCAGCAGCAGCCCCCAGGCGCCGCTGCCGCGCAGCGACTCGGTCACCGTGTTCGGCCGGTAGTGGCACACGCTCGTGGTGAAGGCCAGAGGCGGCCCGCCGCGCGCCTCGTTCAGCAGCCCAAAGCCGAAGGCCAGCACGTTCCGCGCGCCACGCTCGCAAAGCCGCTGCACCACGCGGGCCACCAGCTCCTTCAGGCTGGACACCTGGGCGGGGAGAGAGTCCCGAGTCACCTGGGCGACGGAGGACCGGGGCCCGGCCCGCCTCGCACCCCGCGGCGGCCCACCTGGCGGAAGGACGGGGTGCTGGGGGCCGGCCG